TATTGAAGTATAGTTAGTTTACGATGTATTAATTTCTGGTGTACAGCATAATGCTTCAGTCATACCGAATGTACATATATTCATTTTCATATTCTTTTCCACCATAAGTTACTGGAAGATATTGAGTATAGTTCCATATGCTCTACAGTATGAACTTGTTTATCTATTTTATATATATTAATTAATATCTGCAAATCTCAAACTACCAATTTATCCCTTCCCACCCCCTACCCACCCCTGGTAACCATAAGTTTGTTTTCTATGTCTGTGAGTCTGTTTCTGTTTTGTAAATAAGTTCATTTGTGTTTTTTTTTTTTATTTTTTAGATTCCACATATAAGTGATATGTGGTATTTTTCTTTCTCTTTCTGGCTTACTTCACTTAGAATGACAATTGCCAGGTCCATCCATGTTGTTGCAAATGGCATTTAAAAAAAATTTTTTTTATGGCTGAGTAGTATCCCATTGTATAAATATACCACAGTTTCTTTATCCAGCCATCTTCTGATGGACATTTAGGTTGTTTCCATGACTTGGCTATTATAAATAGTGCTGCTATGAACATTGGGGTGCATGTATCTTTTTGAATTAAGGTTCCCTCTGGATATATGCCCAGGAGTAGGATTGCTGGATCTTATGGTAAGTCTATTTATAGTCTTTTGAGGAATCTCCATACTGTTTTCCATAATGGCTGCACCAAACTACATTCCCACCAACAGTGTAGGAGGGTTCCCTTTCCTCTCCAGCCTCTCCAGCATCTATCATTTGTGGACTATTGAATGATGGCCATTCTGGCTGGTGTGAGGTGATACCTCATTGTAGTTTTGATTTGCGTTTCTCTGATAATTAGTGATATTGAGCATTTTTTTTCATGTATCTGTTGGCCATTTGTCTTCATTGGATGTCTTCATTAGAGGTCTTCATTGGAGAATTTCTTGTTTAGGTCTTCTGCCCATTTTTGTATTGGATTGTTTTTTTCTTATTAACTTGATTGCGCTGTTTATATATTCTGGAGATTAAGCCTTTGTCAGTCTCATCATTTGCAAATATTTCTCCCATTCTGTAGGTTGTCTTTTTGTTTTGCTTATGGTTTCCTTTGCTGTGCGAAAGCTTACAAGTTTAGTTCCCATTTGTTTTTGCTTTTATTTCTATTGCCTGGGTAGACTGCCCTAGGAGAACATTGCTGAGATTTGTCAGATAATGTCTTGCCTATGTTTTCTTCTAAGAGATTTATAGTGTCTTGTCTTATGTTTACATCTTGAAGCCATTTTGAGTATATTGTGTGTTGTGTAAAGGAGTTTTCTAACTTCATTGATTTACCTGCAGCTGTCCAGCTTTCCCACCATTTGCTGAAGAGACTGTCTTTACTCCATTGTATGTTCTTGCCTCCTTTGTCAAAGATTAATTAGCCAAAAGTTTGTGGGTTCATTTATGGGCTCTTTATTCTGTTCCATTGATCCCTATGTTTGTTTTTGTACCAATACTATGCTGTTTTCATTACTGTAGGTCTGTAATATTGTCTGAAGTCTGGGAGGGTTATTCCTCCAGCTTCCTTCTTTTTCTTCAGTATTGCTTTGGCGATTCTGGGTCTTTTGTGATTCTAGTTCTAGTTCTGTGAAAAATGTCCAGTGTAATTTGATAGGGATGGCATTAAGTCTGTAGATTGCTTTGGGTAGTTTGGCCATTTTAACAATATTAATTCTTCCAGTCTAAGAATATGGGATGAATCAGGTTTTTTTTTTGTTGTTGCATTTTAGGAGTTCTTTGTATATTCTGAATATTAATCCCTTATCACATACATTATTTATAAATACTCTTTCTCAGAATGTTCTGGGGCTGCCTTTTACTCTGTATATAGTTTTTTGGTTTTTTTGGGTTTTTCTTGACTGTTGAAAGAGGTTGCTTTTTTTTTTTTAATTGAGGTATAGTTGATTTACAATGTTGTGTTAGTTTCTGGTGTACAGCAAAGTGATTCAGTTTTATATATATAAATGCATATATATATATATATACACATTATACTTTTCCAGATTCTTTTCCATTTTCTAGTTTATTACAAGATTTTGAATTTAGTCCCTGTGCTATACAGTAGGACCTTGTTTATCTATTTTGTATATAGTAGTTTGTATCTGCTAATCCCAAATTCCTAATTTATCCTTCCCCAGCCTTTCCCCTTTGGTAATCATAAGTTTGTTTTCTATGTCTGTGAGTCTGTCTCTGTTTTGTAAATAAGTTCATTTGTATCACTTTTTTTAGATTCCACATTTAAATGGTACTGTATAGATATTCGTCCTTCTTTTTCTGATTTAACTCCATTTAGTATAATAATCTCTGGGTCCATCCATTTCACTACTAATGGCATTATTTCATTCTTTTTTATGGCTGAGTAATATTCCATTGTGTGTTGTGTGTATGCACATGTGTATTTCAAGTGTACAACATAATGATTCAACATACAGTTAGTTGACTCTTGGAAACATTTTTGGAGATTTGCGACAATTTGAAAACACCTGAAGGCAAACTGTAGTTTAGAAATATGGAAAAAAATTTAAAAACGTTACGTATGGCATGATGTATAAAATATATGTGGATATACAAATAACAAAGTATGTTTTAATCAACTGCTTCTGTTATTGGTAAGGCTTCTGGTTGACAGTAGGCTATTAGTAGCTAAGTTTTGGGGGAGTCAAAAGTTATACATGGATTATTGACTGCACTGAGGTTGGTCCCCCTAACCTCTACATTGTTCAAGGATCAACTGTATGTATATATTATGAAATGGTCACCACAAGAAGTCTGTTTAATATCCACTACCACACATAATTACAAATTTTTTTCTTGTGATGAGAACTTTTAAGATTTATTCTTAGCAGCTTTCAAATATACAATACAGTTTACTAACCATAGTAACCATGCTGTATATTATATCCTCAGGACGTATTTGTTTTTGTTGTTTTTTGTTCTGTTTTGTTTTAGGACATATTTGCTTTTAACTGAAAGTTTGTATCTCCCCCACTCCACCCCCACCCCCCAACCCCCTGCTTACCTATTTCACCCACTCCCAATCCCCACCCCTGGAAACCACCAATCTGTTCTCTGCATCTGTGAGTTTGTCTTAGATTCCACATATAAGTGAGATCATGTAGTATTTGTTTTTTTCTGTCTGACTTACTTCATTTAGCATAATGCTCTCCAAGTCCATCCATGTTGCTGCAGATGGCAAAATTTTATTCTTTTTTATGGCCCAGTAGTACTCCATTGTATTTCACATCTTTCTGCAGTCGTCTGTTGGTGGACACTTAGGTTGGTTCCATATCTTGGCAATTGTAAATAATGCTACTAGGAACATTGGGGTGCATGTATCTTTTCAAATTAGTGTTTTTGTTTTTTTTCAGATGTATTCAGATCTGTTTGTATCATCTTAAGTTTCTTTCATCAGTGCTTTATAGTTTTTGGAGGATAGGACTTTGGCCTCCTTACGTAGGTTTATACCTAGGTATTTTATTCTTTTTGATGTGATGGTAAATGGAATTGTTTCCTTAATTTCTCTTTCTGATAGTTCATTGTTAGTATATAGAAGTGCAACAAATTTCTGTATATTAATTTTGTATCCTGCAATTTTACCAAGTTCATTGATGAACTCTAACAGTTTTCAGGTGGCATCTTTAGTATTTTCTATGTATAATATCATGTCATCAGCAAACAGTGGCAGTTGTACTTCTTTCTTTACAGTTTGGATTCCTATTATTTCTTTTTCTTGTCTGATTGCTGTGGTTAGGACTTTCAAAACTATGTTGAACGAAAGTGGTGAGAGTGTGCATCCTTGTCTTG